AAGAGAAAATCAGCTGCAAGAAACAAGAAAAAACATGCAGAAGGAAAGGAGGGAGATGAGGACGAGGATGGCAACAGGAACCAGGTCAAATTCGTCTGGCAGACGGCTGCAGTCGGGGCCCATTTCGGGTCAGAGCTCAGAGGTTCTACCCTCCTGTATCCCGCAACCCACGTCTAGTTCACAAGAAACCCAGGAACGGAGCGCGGAGGGAGAGGAGCTGCGATCAGAGGCACGTGTCTGTCCTCGGCTATGGCTGGAATGAGAGCCTCCAGACCCTGCAGCAACACGGGGCAGAGGCGCGGGGAGCTCGTTCACACCAGACGCAAGCCCTGACAGCGGTGCACTGTCAAGAACAGGGTCCGCATGCTCGCAGGGGTAAAAGCCGTAAAGTTTGCACGTAATTGACACAAGGGTGAAGATTAACACCGTCCCGGGAAATGAAAACATGCATTTGTGCTAATTAGTCGCCTTTTGTCCAGGAATGACATTTTTGCTGCTGTGTTTTCACATAAAGGTCACACATTTGAAATGTGGAATGATATGCAGCAAGAGGTATGTTTTCAAAACACTGGAGTTTCATTCAATAACACAAGGATTTCATTTATACAGCTGCCAGAGGTAGCTAGAAGCCAGAAAGTAAGTTACCCAGTGTTAGTTTCCTGCCGTATTCCATTAAATATTCTGCAGCACATAAAAAGGTATCTTAATGAGGCACATACCACTCTCATGGCCTCGTGCTAACCCAGTGGCACCGAAGGCCAGGATCTAGGAAAATGATGGAATCGGGGGAGTTTGATACTTAAAAGGCATCAGGACTGTTACAGCACTGGAAAACTGAAATACTACCGCAGGTCACAAACTTAGATATTAGACTGAAGCCTGGAAAACATTAATTAAAAAATGAGACGGGCGGCAGCAAAAGGCCAAGCAGGAAATGAAGTAAATGCTGTGAGATCAGTGTGTCAAATTCTAAACCTCGCAGGCCTGCTTAGTTCAGCCCCTTTCTTTAACAGGGCAAGTGCAGGTTGTCAGCACACTGCCAGGTCTAATCGATAGGATCCGTTTACTTTCTTGTCAGCAACAGCCCCAGCTGAACTGAGGTGCCCCGGTGCTTGTCCTTATTTTTCACCCCCTCATGTAGATCATGAATCCACCGCAAAAACAGCATCGGCAACAATAACAGAACAACTTAGGTCACTGCGTTCACAAACATCAAATGAACCCTGTTGTCTGGAAATGTTTACGCATTTAACTAGGTAAAACTATCTTACGCTTTCCCTCATTAAATTATGAGATAATAATTTCAAATTAAACATTAATCAGGAGCAGGATACACTGATGTCACCATTTAAAGGCCTGTCTGATCGTCTGATCCAGACACAAAGTCTACAAATCCACTATTCTCGGCAAACACAACCCCAACACAACACACAGTACGTTCAACCAAGTACCACAGCTGGCAAGCGTCCTGGCAGCTTTGCTTTCCGTCACTGGCAATCATGCAGGAGTTTTAACGGTTTATAGTTTTTGCATGCCTCTTCTGTGCCCAACAGCCGAATG